ATCTTAAACTGATTGAGAGAGGTACAGTCTTTAACATGATTGGGAAGGTCATTCCACATTCTGGGTCCCTTGAATTGTAGAGCATTTGTAGTTTGATTAAGTCGTACTCTTGGAATATCAAAAAGGTATTTGTTTCTGGTGTAATTACCTAAGTGTTATTACCTAAGTGTAGTTACAGGATAAGAGCTATGCTCGTGGTGTCCCGTCTCCCCAGTACTCTTTGTCATACAATGCTTTGAAATTACTGATGGTTTTGGCCTCCACTACCCTCTCACTTAACTTGTTCCAACCGTCTACTACTCTGTTTACAAAAGTGAATTTTTGTGTATTTCTCCGCCAGCTTTGTTTCGTTTCTTAAATCTATGACCTCTTGTTCTTGAAGTTCCCGGTCTCAGAAATTCTTCCCTATCAATTTTATCGATTCCTGTTACTATTTTGAACGTAGTGATCATATCACCTCTTTTTCTTCTGTCTTCTAGTTTTTGCATATGTAATGCCTCTAACCTCTCCTCGTAGCTCTTGTCCTTCAGTTCTGGGAGCCACTTAGTGGAATGTCGTTGCACCTTTTCCAGTTTGTTGATGTGCTTCTTAAGATATGGGCACCATACAATTGCTGCATATTCCAGCTTTGGTCAAATAAAAGTTGTGAACAATTTCTTTAGTATTTCTTCATCCATGTATTTGAAAGCAATTCTGAGGTTAGAAAGTGTAGCATAGGCTCCTCGCACAATGTTCTTAATGTGGTCCTCAGGTGACAGTTTTCTATCTAGAACAGGGGAGCCGGTCGGCCGAGCGGACAGCACGCTGGACTTGTGATCCTGTGGTCCTGGGTTCGATCCCAGGCACCGGCGAGAAACAATGGGCAGAGTTTCTTTCACCCTATGTGTCGGAAAATCCGACACCATTTAATAATCATACAGATAATAGCTGTATTGTATAAACAAGTTACCCATAGAAAACGTAACTTGTAGTGGAATTACCGTCTAAAGAAAACGGGATATCATCACCACATACTATTATAATTCACCAGCTATTCTGCTGGGAATTGTTCTTAAATACATTAGTCTTTGGACTTTACCATCATAAAACATCTTATATAAATTAACTTAATTATCAATATTAAAGTAGAGTAAATGTGACCCTTCTATCACTTTCTGACATGTGGACAATGTAGGCCAGGCGTCAGTGAGGAAGGAGGGCAGCATTGTTGTGTCACCTCCGAGACGTGTGGAGCAAATTTGGCTCCTATCATATCTGGACAATGTCGGCCAGTAACGTCAATAGTATGGAGTGTTAAACAGTCATTGTTTATACTAGACCAGAGGCTCACAGGAGCAAATACGGCTCCTGTTAATTTTACTTGGACGTAGTGTTATGGAAACCAAAGGTACCATCTCCAACACGATGTCTACAATTCAAGTTAAGTGTTCTTTCCGAAACCCATGTATCTTTCATTTATGGCCATTAATGTCATTATATAGGGTGACCCGGTTAGAGCACGTGGAAGCCTCAAACTAAAGGTAATTAAGCCAGGTCTTTATTGTTCCATGTACTGTATAGTGTTTTCTCTGATATAGCTTGTCATATATAGGATTCTGGCTTCACAGCTAGCGCACTTTTGACAGGTCAAGACGAGGAAGCAAGATTTTGTGCACCAGTTACTGGGTGATAGAAGCTACCTCAAAGAGGATAATTTGGTGTCTACACCCTAGTTATACCTGGTGGACTAGCCTGCTGTACTATAAGATAAGGAACCTCTTCAATGTATGTAGTTAATTCTGTAGTTTGATTGGCTGCATATATATTAATTTAATAACCCCCCCTAATGTGTAGAGGATCGATTTGTGAGATTGAGATTATTGCAGAAATACAGTCCACTTATCATTATACAAATTGCTATCGAAGTATATAAATTAACGTAAATATATATTCATATAAATTAAACAAATATAAATCTCACAGGTCGGTTCCCACACTATGCCCCTGTTACCTAGCAGTAAAATAGGTACCTGGGTGTTAGTCAGCTGTCACGGGCTGCTTCCTGGGGGTGGAGGCCTGGTCGAGGACCGGGCCGCGGGGACACTAAAAGCCCCGAAATCATCTCAAGATAACCTCAAGATAACCACCCCTAGATCCCTTTCTTTGTCAAAATTCTTTAAAGATTTCTCACATAATTTATAGGTTGTGTGGGGTCTATGTTCTCCAATTTCACATTCCATAACATGGCATTTATTCACATTAAATTCCATTTGCCAAGTGTTGCTCCATATACTTATTTTGTCCAGGTCTTCTTGAAGGGCATGACAATCATCTAGGTTTCTTATCTTCCCTATTATCTTAGCATCATCAGCAAACATGTTCATGTAATTCTGTATTCCCACTGGTAGATCGTTTATGTAGACAATGAACATTACCGGTGCAAGAACTGAACCTTGTGGTACTCCACTTGTGACATTCCTCCAATCCGATACCTTGCCTCTGATTACAGCCCTCATTTTTCTGTCAGTTAGGAAATTTTTCATCCATGTTAGTAGCTTACCTGTCACCCCTCCAATATGTTCCAGTTTTCAGAACAACCTCTTATGTGGAACTCTGTCGAAAGCCTTTTTTAGGTCCAGATAGATGCAGTCAACCCAACCATCTCTTTCCTGTAATATCTCTGTGGCTCGATCATAAAAACTGAGTAAGTTTGTTACACAGGATCGAAAACCATGCTGTCTGTCTGATATTATATCGTTTTCCTCCAGGTGTTCACCCATTTAGTTTTAATTATTTTTTCTAATATTTTGACTATTACACTTGTCAATGATACCGGTCTATAATTAAGGGGGTCTTCTCTGCTTCCACTTTTGTAGATTGGAACTACGTTAGCCTTTTTCCACACATCAGCTACAACTCCTGTACACAGGGATTCCTGAAAAATCAGTTGAAGTGGAATGGTGAGCTCAGGTGCACATTCTCTCAGAACCCATGGTGAAACTCCATCTGGACCAACTGTTTTGTTCTTACTTAGCTCCTTGAGCATTTTTTCCACTTCGTTTCTAGACACCTCTATGTGCTCTATGTTGTTCTCTGGAATTCTTATTGTGTCTGGTTCCCTAAAGATTTCATTTTGTACAAACACACTTTGGAACTTTTCGTTTAGTGTTTCACACATTTCATTTTCATTTTCCGGGAATCTATTTCCCATTTTCAACCTCTGAATATTATCCTTTACCTGCAATTTGTTGTTTATGAATTTATAGAATAGACCTGGTTCTGTTTTACATTTGTCTGCAATCCCTTTTTCAAAATTTCTTTCTGCCTCTCTCCTCACTACCGTGTAGTTGTTTCTCGCATCTTTGTATCGCTGGTATGTTTGGGGGCTTGGCCTCTTCCTGTATTGATTCCATTTTTGTGTCTTTTGGTCTCTGGCCCTCTAGCAATTTCTATTGAACCAATCCTATTTCCTAGTTCTGCATCTCTGTTTTGGTATAAATTTTTTTGTGCCTTTATCATATATTTTACAAAACTTGACATACATCTCATTGACTTCCTTGCCTAGCATGGTGTGGTGCTCATGGGTTCTGTTACAACCTTCAATGAAGCTTTTAAGGTCAGGATTGGCATTACAGTTCAGCGTTTTATATATGTATAATACACATGAGATTATAGAGATATGTATAATACACGTGAGATCACATCGGTCTTCTTAGATGCACCAGGAGGACAGCATGAGGAAGACCTGGGAGTGGGGTGAGGATGTGTCACGGGAGTGCGAGATGTATGTAATTTATCAGGCAAAGTGACATGGCGCTTGAAAGCTGGGACAGCTGAGGATTGCTTCCTCTTACGGCCAGGGGTCGGGGTTTGTGGCAAATCGGCCCAGGAAGTGACTCTGGTAAGGCGCGCCAAGGTGTTATTGAGGGTGGTTTCCAGCATCAGTTCAAACATCTCAGAGATGTCAAGACATCTTGATATGTTACTTGCTGCTGTTTGGCTCGGCATACCAACTTAGTGGTTCCTTATGGTGAACATGAATGTAGATACTTATATATAACGTGTATATATAGTGTAATGATAGCAAAAGGAGTGTTGGGAGAAGCCATTGTGGTGAGGGAGGTGGCAACATCTGCATGACTTGTCATGCTGGGTAAGGGTGGCCACTATGCTCTTTGGGCACTATACCAGCTTAGTATAGGGATAATAACAATACAAACAGTATACTTGAAGGTGGAATGTTAGTGCATCTGGCCTTGAACCAGTGAGGGTGGAAGGGAAGGAGGGAGCACGAGTTGTGTGTGGCCACCTGTTACTGTCTACCGTCACCATACAAGATTAGTGGTTCGCTATGTTAAACAGCAGCGGGAGGTTGGATGTCAAGCATAGTAGATGCAAAGGAGGGAGTGCATTGGGTCAGCCTCGGGAATGTGTCGGACGGATTGTGGAAAGAATTTAGTCAGGAGTTGGTACAGCGTCTTCTCAAGTGCATCCGCAATGCAAGTGACTTGTTTCAACAAGAACAGGACTCAGTTGTATGGTATGTGGGAGACAATTGGACTCTTGGGGCTTCAAAAATGTCAGTGACAGACTGATCAGGCACAAGCAAAGGGGGCGATGGAGTGTGATGTAGTGGTAGATGACGGATAGAATTAGATAGTCTCAGAGCACGACCGTATTGCAGTTTGATGGTGGGGGAAAGCCTGAGTTTGTGACACTACGTACGAAGGACATTGTCTGAATGTAATGTCATGAGCACCACCACAGTTTGAGCAGCAGAGTATATCTTATGCATCTTGTGCATAGTCATGTGGGTAACGGGAACCAGAGCATTTCCCACATTTGATGTTGCTATCATAACAGGCTTCCTGTTGCTGGCAGTAGAAAAATATATTTCTCTGTATAGTACTGTACTGTACAATCCTTTAAATTAATGAGTACTTAAGTTATGTTATTTTTACATTTTTGTGGTAACTTTTATTTGTTTTAATCTTTTTTGTGTTACTTGATTAATTTTTCAGAGATGGCGTTGCTCCTACGCTTCTCGTTAACACCATTTGAGGTATCAGGTGGAAGTGGACTTAGACCACTGATCAGCTCTATCCGAGGGCTTCGAACTCACTCCCGTCTTCATGAAGCCGCCAAACCTGCTGAAGCTATCCCTGGTATTCCATACAAGAACATGACCATTGGAGTACCTAAAGAAATATGGCAAAATGAAAAGAGGTACAGTATGTGGAAAGGTTAGAATTAAAGTTTTTATGGTGAAAGTGTGGAAAGTTTTAAACATATGTGATGGGATGCAGGAGGAATGGGGGAGGGTTGTGATATGTGATTGTGAAATTGTTGTGTAGTTGTAATGAGATTGTGTTGTGAAAAGTTAAATTCTGTAATATTCATTCAGACATCTGATGTTCAGGTCAGGAGTTTTAAACAGGTAAGAATTTTCTAAGACCGAGATGAATTTTCCCATAAAAAAATAATGTAAATTGAATTCTTCCGTTCCACACCCCCCAAAATATTACCAAAAAAATACATTTCATGCAGAAAACTACTCATAGTACCTTACCTTTGTAGAGGACTCTTGTTGGCATATAGAAGACGAGGAGGAGGAGGAGGGGGGGGAGGAGGAGAGGTGCTAGTGTTTGGGAGCGAGTCCCCTTCCATTATAACATCAAGCAGTGATGACATTTCTGGCATACTCTCCCTCTTACGTTTTGCAGGCATACCCCTAGCACATGGTTGTGGCTCACTGCTCTCTTGTCTTACTAAGAATCTGTCTATAGACACTTGTTTTCCCTATGTTTTAACACTTGTCTGTAGTCAGACATCACATTGTCTCACTATGAATGATTTGTTTTTCCTCAATCGTCATCCTCACAACTATTTTCTTAGGTTGAACAATACTACTGACTTTCTTGGAACCCATGGTGTAATATATAATAAGAACTTTCTATGTTCAGAAACCAAAAAAAGCACAAAAAATGAAATTCTTCCCAAAGTATTCAAGCGCGATCATCACTAGGCGGGAGACACTGGTAAACTGAAAAGCCATGCTTGCGTTGGACCCGTACATATATGAACAAACTCTGAGCACCGAGGCAAACAACAAGTACCAAATGAAATTTTTCGGAGAAATTGAGTACGAGTACCGAAAAATACGAGCACAGGGTCATACGAGTATCGAGGTTCCACTGTATCAATTAGTCTTTTGCAAAGGCTTCCAAGAAAGCTCGCATTGCCCCACCTGCACCTGACTCGTCACATGTTGACCCAAATGCGTCAACATCTAAGGTTACCTTATAACCATTAATCTCCACCTCAGTCAACCCGTCACCATCAATAACCTCCTCTTACATGTAAATAGCAAAGCTTTATCAACAATGATCATCAAGATAGCAAGTGGATCAGGACTTCTCATATTGGTGAGTACAAACAAAATACTGTACTGTCGTTTATGCTATGACTGTCTATTTTTACCCACAGAATTTAAATTCCACTTTAAGAACACAACAGGTTAACCAACGGATCTGAGCCCCGAGGGGTTGGCAAAGCACATGGCTGCCTGTACATGTGTGAAGTGCAAACAAAGTACTGGCAAAGTTATATAAACTAGCTTTATAATTGCCTTTTCAAGATTAATCATGGAAGAAAGTTATAATTATTTATTCTATATCTGAAATTATAACTACTTACAGAGTGGCACTTGCTCCAGCTTCAGTGGCTGCCCTGTCCAAAAAAGGTTTCAACATAGTGCTAGAAGATGGAGCAGGTTTGGAGGCTAAATATCACAATTCTGCCTTTGAAGAAGCTGGTGCCAAAATTGTTGACAAGAAGTGTGCATTTGGAGCTGGTGAGTTCTCTCCTAGTTTTATACAGATTGGCCTAAGTTTCTGTAGGATATATTACAGCATAAACTTGCTCAAAAATATAGAGGCCAAAATAAACAAATAACTAAATTAGTGTCTCATTTCCTTTTCATTCCCCAAGAATCTGTTCCCCATTTTCAACCTCTGAATTTTATCTTTTACCTGCAATTTGCTTTTAATTAATTTATAAAACAGGCCTGGTTCTGTTTAACATTTGTTCCCTATCCCTTTATCAAAGTTTCTTCCTGCTTCTCTTTTTCACTGCCGTGTAATTGTTTCTTGCTCCTTTGTATTACTGGTATGTTTGAGGGTTTGGCCTCTTCCTATATTGATTAACAAATTTATCTTTTGTTCTCTGGCCCTCTTACAAATTTGGTTGAACCAATCCTTTTTTCTATTTCTGCATCTCTGTTTTGGTAAATCTTTTTTTTGTGCATCATATATCTCAAAATTTGACATGCTTTTCATTTTCTTCCATACTTAACAACTAATAATTCCAATTATATTAATTAAAAAAACTTGCTAAGTTTCCCATGTATCCTCTCCTGAAATAAGGTTTTTCAACTGCTTTTTCCTCATTCTCTTCTAGATTATAATGCATTGCATATTTTATTTCCAAATAGACATGGTCACTCAAGGTACTGAATGTCAAATATCTCTAATTCTTTCCTGGTAAATGTCAAATCCAGCATAGACAGAATATCCCCTGCCCTCATTCTCATTGTCTGTCTAACATGTTGGAACATGAATGTCTCCAGGATTGAGGGTTACGAATCTGCCAATCTAAATGTCCTCAGTTCTTGCTTCATAGGCTTCCTAGTCTATTGCTTTAACCCTTAAACTGCGCAACGCGCCTGCAGGCTCGCGTCTGGTTTGCGCAACGCGCCTCCGGGTATTTGTATTTTTCATGTTCCATTCGAAACTCCCGCGGCTACATGGGGTTCACATCAGCTTCCTCAGGGCTCTTGCAAACAGACGCCATCTTTAAAAAAAATCGTGGTCCATATTCCCAGGTGTGGGAGCCTCAGTAGTGTGTGAGCAACCAAGGCTGGCGCTCACAGCATGAGCGCACAGCACTGCTGTTCAGCGTGTGACCACAGCATCGCCTAATAATGTCAAAATATATATATAACTTGTATTATTTAGCTATGATAGTGTTATAGAAGAGCCTGAGTGTGATAATGACTGGGTACAATGTTCAAATATCAGTGATTCAATGCTGTTCACGATATTCACAGCGCTAGCCACAGCACCACAGCATTATTTCGTCCATCTAGGAATCTTCAAATGATTTCTTAGGTTCCTTTTCAAAATAAACGTGTGGTCAATTATTCATTTACAGGAATTAGTGACCAGGATTGTGATAATAGCAGGAATGTGGTTATAATTAGCATTGTGCGTAGTATTGTGGAAGGAGGAATTTTGGCGAGGGAGGGAAGGCGAGAATTGAGGTAGCCTCATCGTGTGTGTGTGGCTGCCACTCTTGTTTTGCTCACCATACTAGCTTAGTGGTTCGCTATGGGCAAAACATATGTACATGGGTATATATAGTGTGTGTATATAGTGTAAGAACAGCAACAGGAGAATGTTGAGAGGAGCTATTTTGGTGAGGGAGGTGACGTAATCGTAGCGTCGTCTGCTGTGTGATTTCTCATGCAGTGTATAGTGGCCACTGTACTGTTTGGACACAATACCTACACAATGCTTGCTTGCATAGTTCTGGTAAATAAAACATGTAGATAGGTATATAGAACATGTGTAATAAGAACTATAACAGTATAGTGGGAGGAGCAATGTTGGCGAGTAAGATGTTGGAGTGAGGGAGACTGGCTGGGTGTGGCTGCTCTCACTCGAGGTGTTCTGAATGTGTTGATGGTGAATGTAGTGTGTGACAGTGTATAGTCTGTAAATAGATTGTATATATACATAAATTAGCATGATACATTGTAAATATGTGCTGCATATGTGTACACAAGTGTCATGCACGTAACACAGTGTCTTCGGACAGTACGGATGTTTTACTGCCATAATATAGTGTACGTGTTCACTATACATAGGATGAGCACATAAAAACAAATAAAATGTATTTGGAACTGTGCGAAAAAAATGAACGAAAATATATTTGCGGCAACTCGCATGCCCTGCCCAGAGCGCCCTACTGGCTCCGGGAGCGTACGTCACGGGCGAACAGGGAATGACGACGTCACGCCCCAACTTACGGACCCCAGAGCAGCCAAAGTAAGTACAATTTCAATTTTTTTTCTGACACTTTAAAAAGAAAAAAGAATTTTTTCCAAAGAATTTATTTCCTGCGCACTGCGGGGGTGTCATATTTGGAGGCAACGCAGTTAAGGGGTTAAAGTTGGTCACCAATACCAACAATTGTGATTTATATTTATCTGCTCTTACTGCAATCCTCTCATTATCATTATCAAGCCCTCTTATTGGTCATCCAACTCCTCCTCTGTCTGTCTTCCTGGTGTGTGTGTGTGTGTAATTACCTAAGTGTAGCTACAGGATGAGAGCTACGCTCGTGGTGTCTCGTCTTCCCACCACTCTGTTATGTAACGCTTTGAAATGACTGACGGTTTTGACCACCACCACCCACCTCGCCTAACTGGTTTCAACTGTCTTATCACTCTGCCATTAAAAAAAAAAAAATCGTGGGCAACATTCTCGGGTGTTAGGGCCTTAGTACTGAGTGAGCCACCAAGGCTGGTGCATGCAGCATGAGCACACTGCTCTGCTGTTCAGCTTGTGACAACAGCATCGCCTAAAAATGTCAAAATATATATGTACATGGTATTATTTAGCGATGATAATATTACAGAAGACCCCTGACTGTGATAAAAATGTCCAGGATTCTGATAATAGCAGGATTGTGGTGATAATTAGAACTAGTGGGAGGAGTAATCTTGGTGGGGAGGGAGGTAGCGTTGTCTGCTGACTCTGTGACCACCTTTTACTGTCTGGACTCACAATATCAGCTTAGTGGTTTGCTATGGTGAACAAAACATGCAGATACTTACATATATAATGTCTATATATAGTGAATAGAAGCAAAAAACAGTATGATGGGAAGAGAATGTTGGTGAGTCAGGTGAGGTGAGGGAGGGAGTGGCAGCTAGTGGCGGGCTAGCTGGTGTGTGGTAATTACATAAGTGTAATTACCTAAGTGTAGTTACAGGATGAGAGCTACGCTCGTGGTGTCCCGTCTTCCCAGCACTCTTTGTCATATAACGCTTTGAAACTACTGATGGTCTTGGCCTCCACCACCTTCTCCCCTAACTTGTTTCAACCGTCTACCACTCTGTTTGCGAAAGTGAATTTTCTTATATTTCTTCGGCATCTGTGTTTAGCTAGTTTATATCTATGACCTCTTGTTCTTAAAGTTCCAGGTCTCAGGAAATCTTCCCTATCAATTTTATCAATTCCTGTTACTATTTTGTATGTAGTGATCATATCACCTCTTTTTCTTCTGTCTTCTAGTTTTGGCATATTTAATGCCTCTAACCTCTCCTCGTAGCTCTTGCCTTTCAGTTCTGGGAGCCACTTAGTAGCATGTCTTTGCACCTTTTCCAGTTTGTTGATGTGCTTCTTAAGATATGGGCACCACACAACCGCTGCATATTCTAGCTTTGGCCTAACAAAAGTCATGCCAGGGCCATTGCTCCCTGCACCTCTCTGAGGGAGCCAGATTCTGGCTCGTGGTCCCCGATAGGCTGAGCTTAATAGATTAATGCCCCTGTCGAATGTATCATATCAGCCTGTTAGCTTCAGGGGAGCTAACGGAGTGAGCCTTCGGAGCTCACCCAGAAAATGGTATTTCATTACATTCAACGCATTTTTTTTTTTTTTTTTGAGCAGTATTAAGCAATGACATTTGGTATTGCAGACATTGTGCTGAAAGTGCGGCTACCACAGCTTGAAGAAGTAGAGTTGTTGAGGGGTGGCAACACTTTGGTGTCTTTCATATATCCTGCACAAAACAAAGACATAGTTGACAAACTGGCAGCTAAAGATATGACTGTATTTGGTAAGTTTATGCTTTTGTCATTGTTCTATACTGTACTTATATTTTGCAGTGTTTATTAATGCATTTGAACAAGTTTCTGTATTTTATTTTATTTTTCCAATTTGCTATTTATTTTGAAAATACTCGAGCTGTATTTATATGAAATATAGTGCTTGTGCATTAAGATGGAATCTCGTTTCCAAGAGTTTCAAATTTTTGTTAATGCTGTAACATGCTAGTGGTACGAATATATTTCCCACATTTAATGATCTGATTATAGCTTTGTACAGTATTAGTTTTCTTTTCAGTGTCTAAAGCAAAGGGTTGTTATTTGTTTCTTTTAGCTATGGACTGTATACCAAGAATATCTCGTGCCCAGGTTTTTGATGCACTTAGTTCGATGGCCAATATTGCTGGATACCGAGCAGTGGTTGAAGCTTCTAATCATTTTGGCCGCTTCTTCACAGGTAAGTGAAAGTTAGTTTGTATTTAACCTCAAACTGATCCAGTTGCATGAAAGGAATTGCCCCATATGTTCCAGCTGCCTGGAGATGATTTAAGATGCACCATTTTATTCAGAAGCCCCACCCATTGTAGGGGGGATGTCATCTGACACTACAGACCTCGGTTGTTCATTTGACATACAGTAATGCATAAGATAATTTTTGTCATTTGGCATGAAGAGGAGGTTGTAAAATTCTTAGTATTTTTTCATAAGTAAAATGACTAAACACTATTGCGTGCTGGGCATGCGCGCTGCCAACTTAGAGGTCATGCCCCCGGCGTGCAGGCGAGCGTGTGGGCAAGTGTGCGACGACACTGAAATGCATATATTGTACTCGTTTTAGTTTTCTCCCTCTAATTCTCGTGCTACATCATTCGTTTTGGTATCATTGTGTTCGCAATAGAATTCCCTACAGGTATATGTGCATATAATGTCCAAAAGCCTGGCGTGACTCCCAACAGCAAAGCCTAAATTCGGGAAAAGTTACCTGTGAGCGCACAAAATCAGTAAAATGTGTTTACTCGTTTCAGTTTTCTCACCTTAATTCCTGTGCTACATCGTTCGTTTTGGTATCATTGTGTTCCCAATTAAATTCCCTGCAGGAGTATATGCATATAATGTACAAAAGCCCGGCGTGATTCCCCACACGAAAGCCTAAAGTTACCTGTAAACGAGTACCAATTGGCACACCGCAACCTAATGTGTATACTTGTTCAGTTTGATAACATCAATTTTCGTGTTATGACTTTCATTTTGTGTATCAAATTGTTTGCAATATTAAGTCACGTATTTTAAAACTAGTCCCATAATAATAATAGAGCAATAACTGGAATTTTAATAAATATTTTAATTTTGTACGCTCATCATCACAAAATTATTTATATCTTTCCAGTGTTCTGACATAAATTTTTGTGTTACATCTTTCATTTTGGTATCAAATTGTTCGCAATGTAAAGGTACGCATTTTTAAACTAGTCCCAAAATAATAGCACAATAAATAGAATTTTAACAAATATTTTAAAATTTTGACCAAAAATGTATTTATAATCTTTTAAGTTTTCTGACATCAGGTTTCATGCTACATCTTTCATTTTGGTATCAAATTGTGCGCACTCTAAAGGGCGCTTATTTTGAAACTATCCTGAAGTTGATCGGATAAAAAATGAATTTTATACAAATATTTTTGTATTGGACGCGAGCGCTGTCCACGGCTAGGACTCAAGAGAAAAAAAGTGGACGTGAGCGTCGTCCACGGCCATCGATAATGTTAAGAAGATAATGATCTGCAAACTGACAAGTCGTGTTACTAGCTTTGGTAGTAAAATAAGTAGTACAGGCAGACAGCTGCTATCTAATATATCAATATATGTAATGCTAATATCTTCCAGGTCAGATAACAGCCGCAGGCAAGGTTCCTCCTGCTAAAGTTTTGGTCATCGGTGGTGGTGTAGCAGGTCTGGCTGCTGTGGGACAAGCTAAAAACATGGGTGCCATCGTTCGTGCCTTTGACACACGAGCAGCTGTCAAAGAACAAGTTGAATCCTTTGGAGCAGAGTTTTTAGAACTCCATGTTAAGGTAAGATTTATGAAAATTTGTTTGTCCAAGACGGCAGGCCAGATGCTTGGGGCTAGCCACACCTTACCTTTTAAGTTGGGTAATAAGTATTTGGAGTGTTACAGGCCAGCCAGTGTCATCCCCAATGTCACCCGTAAACAAATAATAATAATAATAATTTAGATTTTGGGAAAAGTACGTGCATATGAAATGAGATAGATATAAGAAGAATGTTGGATTTCTAGGTTGGGCAAGTATATACTTTGCCTTATGCCACTAATACGCATAAGGTTTTGGGCATGATATGAAAAAATATCTAGTTTTAAGGCTTGAAGCAAATTGAGATGAAAAACAAAAATGAACTGAATTATTACAATAAAAAAAAGACAATTACATAGTGAAGGCACAGCAGAAATTGCAATAGAACAGCACATAGTCATTTTCACTAAATGGACAGAAGGAATAGATTTTTTCTGGGGGAAGTCCTGTCTGCTCCCTGGGCTGATATGAATGTACAGTATTAGACCCCTGGCATCAGTCTTAAGTGCATGGAGTTCTAGGCCTACCGGGGACCATGAGTCAGAACCTGGCCCCAGAAGTAAAAAATATTTGAATTATGTAAAAATAACTTAAAAATGTTAAACAAATCTCCAACTTACTGGCTTCAGTGTCGTGAAACTTTCATCAAAATATTTTCAGAAATTGATTTTAGACAAATTTAAAAAAAATAAGAACGTTTTGTTGATAAGGAGAACAGCTCCTAATAACTGGAACTGAAAGATAATGCAGTGATAAAGAGATGCAACCACCTGTCTGATGCTCAAAGAAGAATAGTAGTAAGAAGTGTCCACAGAGTGGATATGTAGTTGGTGGCTTTTTCTGGGGGGAGCCCCTTTGGCTTCCTAGAGCCGAATATGCTGATATGCATATTCTAGGCATATCATTAGCTAGGCTGATATGCTAATGTCAGACTTTGGCATCAGTCATGTGTATGGAGTTCTTATGAGCCTCCGGGGACCACGAGTCAGAACCTGGCCCCCTCTAGAGAGGCATGGGGAGCAATGGCCTATAGAAACCCCCGTGTTATTGGAAGCATTCTATGTCTGCCATGACCAGGTTAGGCACCCAGAAAGGTAGGCATCCCAAAACAAACCCCTATTCTGGTGAAAATTGCAACCAAAAGCCAAACTAGTGGATAGAACTCCCCAAACAAAAACGAGCAAACTAGTATGACATCACCCGTTGTCGCCCGGCTGTCTCCGCAGTTATTCTTCAGTACTCAGGCTGCATGTGCCTAGGGTTTTCTTCCCCAGGTGCCTTGTAAGTACTGCCCTTGGAGCTACAGACATGTGTTAAAATGTAGGGAAAAACAAGTGTCTTTAGACAGATTCTTAATAAGACGAGCAAGCAGTGAGCCACAAGCAGGTCCTAGTGGTATGCAGGCAAAACGTGCCAGAGAATTCACACCAGAGAAGTCCTCACTGCCTGATACAATGGAAGGGGACTCCCCTTCCAAACAGTAACACCACCTCTCCTCCCTCCTCCTCACGATCTTCCATACGCCAACAGCAAGGGTAAGTAATAACTTGAACATAGTTTTGTATTGTAGATTTCGATGAATTAGGTATAAAATTTAGTTTGAAGTGAGGTTTTTGGGTATTCAGGAACGGATTAATTCACTTCCCATTATTTTTTTTTGGGGGGGGGGAAATTAGCTTCGTTTTAAGAGTTTTTGGATTACGAGCTGTCTCCAGGAACGGATTAAACTCTTAAATCTCCCTTCTTCTTCCTCCTTTGTACACCACTGCCACTAGCCACAGGAGTAGTGAAACAATTTTCACATTCCACTTCACTAAAGCCAGAAAAAGTAATCTTCCACATATGATGGCCCAAAGCAACATGATGCTTCACATGCCCACATGAACTGTCATGTGGTAGTGGTGTGGAGTGAGGGCGATGGCAAATGGAGTGAGGCAGTGGTGATATGCCTCCCTGACCTTGCCCCACGTATGCATTCCTGACCTTTACATTTCCTTTTATAAACACTATCTATGTGTATGTTAGGTATTATAAAACACTTGCAGGCAAAATTGTCCCAATAAGTCTTTATTATGTTCTCAAATCATATTCCAGGAATCGGGAGAGGGTACAGGTGGCTATGCAAAAGAGATGTCTAAGGAGTTTATTGATGCAGAGATGGCTCTATTTGCAAAGCAGGCCAAAGAAGTAGATGTTATAATTTCTACAGCTCTTATTCCTGGAAGAAAAGCCCCAGTTCTGATTAAAAGAGTAAGTATCCTTAATAATATCTTTTCTTTTTTTCTTTATCTACTTTTTCTGTGGGGAGCCCCGTCTGCTTCCTGAAGCTATCCCACTGATAATGCTATCCTATTTGAGGTCATCGGTCAGAGTTCTTGTTGCCTACTGGGGACCAGCGCCAGTACCTGGCCCCTTCAGAGAGGCGCAGTGAGCAATGGCCTATGAACACTTTACATTTAAAGTATATCATACTTGCCATCGACCAGGGAAGGCACCAAGAAAGGTAGGCAAAACAAAACAAAACAGACCACAGTCAGGTTAGAATTGCAACCTATGTCCTCAAAAAAGCAAAGGAACTCCCCAGAAAGAAAACAAACAAGTAACTCTTCGTCCAACTAGCTCCCTGACTTGACAAAGCTCCCTGCTTTGTCCAACTAGCTCCCTGACTTGACAAAGCTCCCTGCTTTGTCCAACTAGCTCCCTGCTCCCTGCCCTTTCCCCCACGGGGGGAGAGTGAGGCAGCCCGGGTCAGCCGAGCAAAAGCAAAAGCTTTCAGCAGAACTGGTCGAGGTGGAGTTACCTGTTCCTCTTCTCCCTGTCCAGCCATTACTTCAGGTTTTTGCTCGGTTAGAGTCCTTCCCAAGGAGAGTAGTCCTTTTGGTCTCTTGGTGGCCGCCCGAGCTTTGTTTTCAGATGCTGCTTGATAGGTGTTTGAACCCGGGGCGTTTCCCGCGGCTCCGCCTCTTTTGACTGGTCAGACCGGTCCTGTATGTGACTGGTTCAACCTTCTCCTCGGCTCTTCGCGTCTGGTCTTTTAACGCAGATGTATCACCATCTCTATGGTGATCAGGTGGCTTCGTTGATGGTGTCTCACCTGCAAGCTTCATCTCGGCGACAGTATGATGTTCCTGGCATTTCTATTCGCCATTTTCTTGCTCTTCATAGGTTGTCTTCTTTTTTGCATCTGGTTGTCTTGTCCTTTCTTGGGTTTTCAGGACTGTTAATTGATGCTTCTTACTGTCGCCTTGTATTGTGTGGCGCTGGTGGAGCTGCTCCGGCTTGCGTTTGGGGTGGACGTTACATCCGCCCTGTTCCGTACGCTTTCTCTTGTTTTTTTTTACCTCTGGCCTGCTCATGCACCGCCTGAGCTGTCCTAGTCCTTGATTAGGGTGCCCTCTTATCTTTCCTCTCCTCAGTTTGTGGTAGCCCCTTTGGTTCAAGACTGTTTGTCAAAGGCCATACTGTATTTTGTTGGCATTGGCCTCTGCGTATCAGGTCAGGGAGCTTCCGGTTCTCTTCAGGTGCAGGGGTTTCTGCTCTTTTGGTGCTGGTGGTAGGTTTGTACGTTTGCAGCCTTTCTCCCTCCTTCTGACGACGGTTGAGATGGGCTGCTTTCCAGAGGGGTCCCTGGGTTATTGATGCTTAGTTCGGCCGGGGGGGTGTCATGTGTTGTCCGGTAGTGGCTCTTCGCTGTTACCTGCGTGCCGTGGCTGGGGATGCGCTTTGGGTTGATCCGGTTTCCCTCGTTCCCTGTTTCAGGGCTCGGGTCTCCCAGGTCGTCCGCATGGTTCTTAAGTCTACCAGCCTGCGGTCTGTCCCTGCGCTCGTGCTGTTCGGACGTTTGCAGCTTTCACTGCCGTGTTTGGTGACGTCTTGTGCTCATTTCGGGCGTGAGTATTTTGGGGTCGCACAGGTTCCTGGCTGCCCATTCTTTTGTGAACGTGTCTGCTCCTGTGCGTTCTTGTGTTGCTTTGGGTTCCAGGTTGCTGCCTGTTATCTTGACTTCGTGTTTGCGGAGTTTGTTGCGGCTGCCTCCCAGGTCAACCCTCTCTTTTCCTTCTTTTTGGGTATGTAGCTCCAGGGAGCTGTAGGGGCTCCCCCACAGAAAACCAGCGTTGAATGTAATGAAACGCCATTTTCTGGGTGAGCCCTGGAGGCTCCCTGGCAACCCTCCCTCCCACCGGTCAGCAGTTTTTTCGCGTTGGTTGAAGCTTAGCTTCCGAACTGATGTTAGGCAGCCGGTGTGGTGAGGTCCAGGTCCCCCCTCCCCCTTGTGGCTGGGAGGGCTGCGCAGACGAGCGACACGGCAGTAAAGTGTGATGTTTGCTTGTTTCCTTGGGATTGTAGGGAGTTTCTACCTCTTTGTTCAGTTTTTTGTTTTAGTTTCTTACCATGTGGGGTTTGTTTTGTTATGCCTACCTTTCTGGGTGCCTAACCCCATTCGATGGCAGATAAGGAAAACCCCCCAACCACGAGGGTTTTCCAAGGCCATTGCTTCCTGAAACCTCTCTGAAGGGCCCAGGTTCTGGCGCTGGTCCCTGGTAGGTCTGAACTCACAGTCTAATATAACATACATTAGCCCGATAAGTTCCAGGGAGCTTCCGAGGCTCGCCCAGAAAATAGCGTTTCATTACATTTAATGCTGGTTTTTTGACTGCTTCCCTTACCTGCTGTGCAACTTTCATTGAGTGGTGGATTTTGACTCCAAGGTTTTTTTCTTTTTCAATCTGCTGTAGTGTAATGTTATTAATTTGGTAGTTGTGGCATGTGTCTTTGGGTTGTTATGCCTCACATGCAGGGTCATGCATGTGTCAATATTTCAAAAGCATTTCCCAGCCATCTGACCATTTATGGAGTTCCAACAGATCTCTTTGTAAGGCTTCAACATAATTATCATTTCCCACTTTACCATTAATCTTTGTGTCGTCTGCAAATTTGATGTGGTTTGTAATATTCTCATCTACTGATATGTCATTGATGTGTATGACAAAAAGGGTTGGCCTCAAAATGAACCCCTGTTGTACCCCATTTATCATATTTCTCCAGTCAGATTCATTCCCACTTAGCACAACTCTGTTTCCTTTGTTTTAACTATAGTTTTATCCATTCTAGTATTCTTCCATTTATTCCAAATGGTTTATTTGTGGAATTCCAGTTTATTGAATTCTGCAGATACTGTATTTAGTTTATAGTGTAAGAACTTTAGGAAGTTATTGGTTTCCATAGGTGGTTCAGTATTGGGATCATTTATTGGTGTTAAAACCTTCAGAAATGTTGTTGAAAGGAGAAGCATGGGAAATAATGGAATTGCCTAGCACTATATTGCAAATAATTATGGAATTTAATCTCTGTGAGAATCTGTGAAGTTGGCCATATGGACATCTTGACTCATCTTTGTAAGTTAACTGTTTTAGAATTCCAAATATGTAATCTCTTCTTTTTTTTAGGAACATATAGATGCAATGAAACCTGGCTCAGTTGTGGTAGACTTGGCAGCAGAAGCTGGAGGCAATATTGAAACAACTGTCCCTGGTGAGGTAATAGTTTACAATGATGTCACTCACATTGGACTGACAGACCTTCCTTCACGCTTAGCCACCCAGGCTTCCTTTTTGTATGGCAATAACATCTCTAAGTTTTTGCTGTCCATTGGTGAGAAAGAACATTTCAACATTAACCTGGAGGATGAAGTAGTAAGAGGGTCTATCATTTTGCAAAATGGCAAGATGCTATGGCCACCTCCACCTCCGCCTGTGGTGTCACCAACAACAGTTACAAGTTCAGCTGTAGTAAAAGAACCACCACCACCCCCTAACTACTTTAACCTGACCTTGAAGGATTCTCTTATGTATACCTCAGGCAAGTATAGATATTATAAAATAATACTCTTAAGAGTTAAGGGTGACTGTGACTGAAACTTCCTCAAACATTCAAGTTTTTGTAAATATCATCATCATGGTAAATGCTCCAACTTTTCCTAATGGACAAACATCATACCATGAACAGGGGAAAAAATCAAATTAGGTATAAAAATGAAAATGTTAAAATGTCACCAATTTTTATTTTATTCATTATGGTCTCAGAGTGGCATATAACGTTCATGTTGCTTGCTGCAAAATATTGTTTGAGAGCATAGTTTACTGTAAAAAAAATTATTCACTGTGGCCTTCCAAATATGTACAAAATTTAGATATAAAAAATTTATAACTCCAAAAGTTATGGGTCTATGACTAAATAACAGCGAGGGCTCCTTAGAACTAAGCACTTTGCACATATGTAAAAATGGTGAGATTTGGTCAGAAATTAATTTTTATTAGGTCTCAAAGTTGAAATGAACTTTTTAGAGATAGACTGGTACTTTTGTTCACGATCGTAATCCATTTCCAGAGACATGTCGTCATCTAAAAATTCGTCACACAAAGCAAATTTTCCCACAGGAAATAATGTAAATTGAATTAATCTGTTCCAGACCCCAAAAAATATTAACTTAAAAATACATTTTATACAAAATTCTACTCATATTTTTCAATTTGTTATTTCATTTTGAAATTTGTAATTTGTTATTTCATTTCAATAATCAAGATTGTTTTTTAATTTATCAGTACTGTATTTTTATTTTTCATTCATTTTCTGTTCTGTAATTCTGAAATTTAAAATCTTATGTAATTCCTAATCAAAAATTTTCTCAACTTGTTTTTCACAGGTCTGGCTAGTTTGGTGAGCTTGGGTATTGGGTCACCCAATGCTGCCATGACACAGATGATGACCACATTTGCCTTGGCTGGCATCGTGGGCTACCACACTGTTTGGTCTGTCACCCCAGCCCTACATTCACCACTTATGTCAGTCACAAATGCTATTTCAGGTGAGTTACAAGATGACTCTCTGGCATGGTGGTATATTAAATAATTTTAGCACATAAACCTAATACAAAGAAAGTTGCTGAATCTCTAATAAGGATAATTAGAACAGTCCAATATAGTATATAGAAATGTGTTCTTTGCTCACCCTGTGGCAGCAGAGGACTGTAGCTAAATACTGTACAAAAGAATATAGTCACCTGTTCTTTTAAGGAAGTATTTATATATTTGAAAATGTATTTGAAAAAATAGTAGTAATAATAGTACCAGTATGAAAGGGAATATTTAGGCATCTCATTTGCATGGTTGGTATAATTGTAACTAATATAATTAGACAAGGCTAAAATATGAAAGTTTTGGCACATTAGAGGAACTAGAAATGAAAATGGAAAAGAAGTTTACACAGGCTTCAAAAAATGACACAAATATGCCATATGGCAGCTGCAGAGTGACCCAGGGCCAAATTTAGACACAGTGAGGCTATAAGTCATGGGAAGCTGTTGAAGCTCTATATAACATTTGACAGTATAAGGTTGTGTAACATTTATTTATTTATTTATTTATGCATATACAAGAATGTACATAAGGAATGTGAGGATACGAATATGGTAATTACAGTCTTGTAAAGCCACTAGCACGCACAGCGTTTCGGGCAGGTCCTTAATCTAAGAAAATTTTAAGGAGGTAAATACTTGCAAAATTATAGACAAAAAATGATAACAGATTACATGAAATGAAAAAAAAGATGAGAGAAAATTGTAGGTACAGTATATTAAAGCACATAGGTAGCTAAGATTGATTGCAATGACAGCTTGAATGGTAGTTGACAAAAAAATTGGTAGGCATAATACAGCAGAAACAATATAAGATTGGTTGCAATGACAGCTTGAATGGTAGTTGACAAAAATTGGTAGTCACAATACAGCATATGGCTAGCACATAAAAGAAGACAGCAATGAACACAATGATAAGGTTGTTTGATATTACATAAAAATTAGGAGATTGGGTAACACTAGGTACAGAGCAAAATTAAAGCTCAGTGTAGGAGAATAACAAGAGAATATGGCAAGAATGCCACAAAGATGCATAACAAATTCATGCAGGGGTGAATGATTCCTCCTTTAGAACTGTAACAAAAATATAAACTATTTTATTTTATTTAATTTTACTTTTTGCATTCTGTTTAACAGAAAATTGAATATTCATCTCCCAAATTTACCTGTTATTCCTATTGACATCAGTTTGTGGGTTATCACTCCATGGTCACAGTTGCAAATTCCATGTATATGACATTTGCATTGTTTTTCTTCTAATCCACGCTTCGCGAGCGATTAGGCCTGGGTTCATATCCTGGCCGGGGAGGATTGACTAGGTGCCAGTCTTTAACTGTGTGCCTCTTTTTAACCCAGCAGCGAATGGGGTACCTGGTTGTTAAATGATTTGGCTGGCCGTATTCCAGGGAAAATTAAGATAAAGGACCTGCCAAAAGCGCTATGTATGCTAGTGGTTTCACAAGAATGTAAGAACTCTTGTACTGTATATATAAATAAAATATAAAAAATGCATCGGTGATTTTGTCACCGTGGTCGAGTTAACTGTGAAAGGCATGATCTTAACGCTCTAAATCTAAATTGGCCTGGGTTGAGGAAGTCATTGGTCTCCATAAAACTGGAGAAGATCCAACTCAATCACGCTCTCAAAACTTTCATTATGTGGGATGCTAGTGCAACTGGTCTATAGCTCTTAGCCAATGCTCTGCTCCCTCTCTTGTATGGGGTATACAACCCATCTTCCAAATTGACAGTACGGTTTAATACTAAGTGTAATAAGTACAATTTCCTTACTGTCATACATAGTACATAATTGCACTTACGTGGCTGTTGTATTTACCTCCCCATTTATTCTTCTCGTTTTCTGTCAAGACATTCAGAATTTTAGGATGAAGTTTTCAAGTTAAATTCGCTATACACAAGTTTTAAATATCAGGAATTTATTTTTCAGTTTTATTAAACAAAAGAGATTCTATACAAAATTTGAAAAATCTCGAGTTACTGTACAATTTATTGATATATTTTAGTTTTGTTTTATTAGTTTTATAAAACTGTAATATCAATATAGCTATAACTCAAATATTCACAATATATTTGACAATATGGTTTAATACTAAGTGAAAATAAGTATAATTCCTGACTGCTATGAATAGTACATAATTGCACTTACTTGTGCTGTTACGTTTACCTACCCATTTTTGGAGGATGGGCTGAGGGTATATGTATAAATCTGCTGATTTAAGTGCTTCTGGTGTCTCATCAGTGTCAGTCTTTTCTGGGGGGAGCCCCTTTGGCTCCCCGGAGCTTACTAGGCTTATATGCTAATGTCAGACTTTGGCATCAGTCATGTGTATGGAGTTCTATGGGCCTACTGAGGACCACGAGCCAGAACCTGGCCCCCCTCAGAAGAGGCAAGGGGAGCAATGGCCTATACAAACCTCCGTGTGGTTGGAAGCATTCTATGTCTGCCATTGACCGGGTTAGGCACCCAGAAAGGTAAGTGTCCCAAAACAAACCTCTATTCTGGTGAAAGTTGCTACCACAAGGTGAACAAGTGGATAGAATTCCCCTAAAATAAACAAGCAAACAATCATGACGTCACACGTCCCCGCGCCGCTGTCCGCGCAGCTACCCCCTCCACGGAAGGAGGAAGGGGAAGCCCCAGACCCATCGCGCCGGCTATCCACCCTCAGTTCTAAGGCTGATGCTAACGGCTGAGGTCGTGTGCTCCGGCTCCGGTGGTTGTTTCAGCACTGTACCTAGAGTGTGGTGTCTGTTTTCTAGGTGGTGTGTGAGCCGGGAGTGTTTCTTCAGTACTCGGGCTGCATGCGCCTAGGGTTTCCTTCCCTAGGTGCTTTGTAAGTACTGCCCTTGGGGCTTTGGGTTCCCTTCCACAAGTTCCTTGAGTTCTGCCCCTGCTAGGCCGTTTACTGCTTGGTTTTCGGCCACCCTTTGTGTAATTACCTAAGTGTAATTTCAGGATTTATTCCATCTGTCAGATCATTTATGTAGACAATGAACATTACCGGTGCAAGAACTGAACCCTGTGGTACTCCACTTGTGACATTCCTCCAATCCGATACATTGCCTCTGATTACGGCCCTCATTTTTCTATCAGTTAGGAAATTTTTCATCCATGTTAGAAGTTTACCTGTCACCCCTCCAGTATGTTGCAGTTTCCAGAACAACCTCTTATGTGGAACTCTGTCAAAAGCCTTTTTAGGTCTAGATAGATGGTCAACCCAACCGTCTCTTTCCTGTAAAATCTCTGTGGCTCAATCATAGAAACTGAGTAAATTCATTACACAGGATCTTCCAGATCAAAAACCATACTGTCTGTCTGATATTATATAGTTTTTCTCCAGGTGTTCTACCCATTTAGTTTTAATTATTTTTCCCAATATTTTGACTATTACACTTTTCAGTGATAGAGTTCTATAATTGAGGTTGTCTTCCCTGCTGCCACTTTTGTAGATTGGAACTGTTAGCCTGTTTCCACACATCTACTCATCTGCTACGACTCCTGTACACAGGGATGTCTGAAAAATCGGCTGAAGTGGACTGCTGAGCTCAGGTGCGCATTCTCTCAGAACCCATTGGGAAACTCCATCTGGGCCAACTGCTTTGTTCTTACTTAGCTCCAGGAGCATTTTCTCCACTTCATCTCTAGACACCTCTATGTGCTCTATGCTGTTCTCTGGAATTCTTATTGTGTCTGGTTCTCTGAAGAACTCATTTTGTACAAACACACTTTGGAACTTTTCGTTTAATGTTTCACACATTTCATTTTCATTTTCCATTATCTATTCCCCATTTTCAACCTCTGAATATTATCCTTCACCTGCAATTTGTTGTTTATGAATTTATAGAATAGACCTGGTTCTGTTATACATTTGTCTGCAATCCCTTTTTCAAAATTTCTTTCTGCCTCTCTCCTCACTGCCGTGTAGTTGTTTCTCGCATCTTTGTATCGCTGGTATGTTTGGGGGTTTGGCCTCTTTCTATATTCCATTTTTTGTGTCTTGGTCTCTGGTCCTCTCGCAATTTCTGTCGAACCAATCCTGTTTCCTAGTTCTGCATCTCTGCTTTGGTATAAATTTTTTTGCGCCTTTATCATATATTTCACAAAACTTGACATATATTTCATTTACTTCATTTTGTAACAGCAAGTCTTTCCAATCAAATTCCTTAAAGAAATATCTGAGTTCCCCATAATGACCTCTCCTGAAATCAGGCTTTTCAACTCTTTTCAACCCTTTTCAACTTCATTTTCATCCAGATTATAACGCATTGCATGCTTTACTCCCAAAGAGACATGGTCACTTTTACCCAAGGGAGGGAGTTACTGAACGTCAAATATCTCTTCCTCTTTACTGGTAAATATCAAATCCAGCATGGAGGGAACGTCTCCTTCCCTCATCCTCATAGCTTGTTTAACATGTTGAAACGTGAATGTTTCCAGGATGAGGTTTACGAATCTACAAGTCCAAAAATCCTCCGTTCTAGCTTCATATGCCTCCCAGTCTAGCTTCATATGCCTCCCAGTCTAGCTTCATATGCCTCCCAGTCTATGGATTTCAAGTTGAAGTCGCCGACTAATGCTATTATGTCAACTTTTCGTGGATTGGCAATTATTTCGTTTAACTTTAGGTGTTCTTTCACCAGCACAGCAGCGCCACCGTCTTTCCTAATTTTTCTGTCCCCTCTCTGGACTGAGTAGCCTCTTGGGAATATGACCTCATTTAAAATATCATCTTCAAGTTTTTTCTCCGTGAAGTGCGAGGGAGGGGGGGGGGGGGGGCCTGGCATGCAATAGTGTGCCAGGCGCACACTATCGCATGGAATCGGAACTCCCCCTCCCCGGAAAGGGGGAGTCCCAGACCTCTCAGGCCGGCTATCCACCCATCAGTTCTTTGGCTGATGCTAAAGGCACTGGTTGTGTGCTCTGGCTCCAGTGGTTGTTTCAGCACTGTTCCTAGAATGTGGTGTCTTCTAGGTGATGTGTGAGCCGGGAGCAAGTCTCCAGTACTCGGGCTGCATGCGCCTAGGGTTGCCTTCCCTAGGTGCCCTGTAAGTATTGCCCCTTGGGGCTTGGGGTTACCTTCCACAAGTTCCTTGGGTCCTGCTTCTGCTAGGTCGTCTACTTTTTTGGTTTTCGGCCACCCTTTGTGTGATAGGGGGTTTTGTCTCCCTTGTTCGCCTTAGGGTAAGAGGCAGTTTTGCACTGGTAGGGGCGCAGGGTACTGCGCAGCTTGTTTTCACCAATCATGGCGGCCGGCTCTGTTCCGCCTGGGTACGCTGTCCTCTTCCGGGGGTTTTCTTTTTCCGGCTCTACCTACTCGATGGTCACACACGAGATCTTCCAGCGACTCCGCCTTTTCCTAGGCATGGATGAACCTGGATGGGGCTGGTTGGGTTCTGTCTCGAGTCTCTCACCTTTGGTAGGTGGTCGGGTGGCTTCGTAGTTGGTGTCCTTCCTGTGTGCTTTTCTTGGTAGCAGTATGGAGTAATTTGGCAGTCCTTCCTTTTCCTTTTGTCCCTTCTTAGGTGGCTGCGTTTCTTGGCGTCGGCTTGGCTTTTCTGGTGGGGGTTGGGGGCCGTTGACTTGCTGCGTACTGTCGTCTCGTTTTGTGTGGCGCTGGCAGAGTCACTTCAGCTTTCTTTCGGTCTTGGTGTTACATCTGAGCCGTTCGTAGGCTGTCTCGTGCGTTGTTTCACCTCTGGCCTGTTCTTGCGCCGTTTGGTCTGTCCTGGTATCTGGACAGCGTGCTCTTTCTTCTCCTTGGTTGGTGGTGGCCTCTTCGATTCGGGTTTGTTTTGACAGCACTTTTCCTGTTGGCATTTACCTCTTACGCTCGGGTCGCTGAGCTTCTTGCTCTCCTTCGGTCATGTCATTTGGTTTGTTCGTTTGCAGCCGTCTCCCTTTTTTCTGGCACGGGGTGAGGCTACAGCGTTCCGGGGGGATTCTTGGTTGGTCGGGCCAGGGGTGTGTCATGTTTTGTGTTCAGTTGTGTCCCTTCGCTATTATTTGCGCGCCGCAGCTTGTGTGTCCTGGGCGCGCTTTCGGTTGATCCGGTTCCGTTCTTCCCTGTTTACGGGAGAAGGTGTCCCGGGTCGTCCGCCGTGTTATTGCGACTAGCCAGCCTGTGTTCTTTGCCCGTGGCGTTCGTGGTTTCACTGCTCTTGCTGTCGTCTTGACGGCGTGTCCTTGCTGACTTCAGGCACGGGGCTTTTTGGGGCTGTACAGGGGCCTAGCTGCTCGTTGTCTCGTGTCGTTCCCGTGCTCGTTCGGGCCTGTGTCGCCTTGGGTTGGCAGTTGCAGCCAGTTGTATCACTTTTCGTTGAGGGGTGCGTGGTGTTCGCCTCCCGGATCTGTCCCTTTGACCTTCCTCTGTGGGTAGTTAGCTCCGGGGAGCCGATGGGGCTCCCCCTAGAAAACCAGCGTTAAATGTAATGAAACGTCATTTTCTGGGTGAGACCCGGAGGCTCCCCGGCAACCCTCCCTCCCTCCGGTCGGCGGTTTTTCGCGTGTTTTGACATCCAGCCTCAGAACTGGTGGGTGGATAACCGGCCTGAGAGGTCTGGGGCTCCCCCTTTCCCCTCCTGGGGAGAGGGGAGCTGCGCAGACAGAGGTGCGGTGACGTGTGATGTCATACTTGTTTGCTTGTTTTCTGTTGGGAGTTCTATCCACTAGTTCGGCTTCTGGTAGCAATTTTTACCAAAATAGGGATTTGTTTTGGGATGCTTACCTTTCTGGATGTTTGACCCAGTCGATGGCAGACATAGAATGCTTCCAACCACACGGGGGTTTCTATAGGCCATTGCTCCCCTTGCCTCTCTGAGGGGGGCCAGGTTCTGGCCGTGGTCCCTGGTAGGCCCTAAGAACTCCATACACATGACTGATGCCAAAGTCTGACATTAGCATATCAGCCTGGTATAACTCCGGGGAGCCTCCAGGTCTCACCCAGAAAATGGCGTTTCATTACATTGAATGCTGGTTTTTTGGGCTTTGTGCATGGCTGTTTTTGGGCTTTGTGCATGGCTGTTTTTAGGCTGTGTAACTGGTTGTTTCCAGGCTGTGTGCCCATGGTTTTATTCCCATGCTTCTTGTAGAATGGGAATATATATATAAGAATGGGTCTCATAATATTTGTGATTAGCTAAGACTTGGTAATACCAGAATAAAGCTTAGATTGCTACTAGGATGGCCAACTATATAGGACATTTTATTACATTCAGTGCTTAATTTTGTGTAAATTTAACTCAAGGTTCATTAATTTTATATAAACTCCTTATATGGTGCCAATAGATATATACTGTATCTATTATAATGTTCAAGGTCACAGTTTGATTAGTGTTAGCAAAACTGTATTGCAGGGATTACAGCTGTGGGTGGTCTGCTGCTGATGGGTGGAGGTTATTATCCTTCCAACATAATCCAGGCACTAGCTGCTTCTGCTGCCTTCATCTCGTTCATTAACATCTTTGGTGGTTTTCTTGTTACGCAGAGAATGTTGGACATGTTCAAGCGGTATGCATTATTACCTTTTTTTTTTTTTTTTTGGAAAGCCACATTTATGCTTGATATTGATTTGTTCATACATGGAATACAATATACACGCTCACTCTGTTTTTGTCCAAGATAGATTAAAAATAAACTTTTTTATATTTCCAGGCCTAATGATCCTCCAGAATATAATTACCTCTATGCCATTCCTGCTGCTACCTTCCTTGGAGGGTATGCAGCTACAGCTGCTGGTGGCTACACAGAGAGTCACCAGATGGCCTACCTTGCTGCTTCCCTCTGCTGTGTTGGTGCCCTTGCAGGGCTCTCAAACCAGAAAACCTGCAGACTTGGCAACACTCTAGGAATGGTGGGATTTTAAAATTATGCAATTGTGGTGATGTATAAATGCTTATTGATACTGGTGGGTATATGAGCAGACGACTTCTGACTCATGTTAAGGGACTTAGTCCTTAATTACTGCAGGGGAAACAGGTGTGAATATTAAGGATTGTGATCCAGTTGACTCTCTGGCCAGTGATCGGACCTAGCCAAAATTGCTCTGGAACATGCTATCACTGTGTCACAGGGACCTGAATATCTAGACCTTAATACCAAATTTGTCATTTGGTAATACCAAACCCATCCTGTTTAGATAGTATCTATTGTGATGATCGTCAATAGTTAGAATTCGTACATATTAGCTTATAGATAGTAGTATACTGACTAGTAAGGACTTCTTTTAAAATAAATGAAGCTAAAACACAAACTTAAATATTCCTAGGCCTAGTATAGTGCACGCACATGTACTGTATTAGGCCTCAGATATTGCGAATTAGACCTAGGGAGCTTAGGATAGGTTAATTTAGTTTGTCAAAACAACACAAGTAAAAAATAGTTTTCCAGTTTGTCCAACTCAATAGTTCAGATTTCTAGGTTCTAATTTCGTTGAACGTAGGTATGTATACTATTGTCGTCGTCGTTACTGTAAGTACTGCCAAAACAGGAGGATGGGCTGTTATACCAGATGACTGATCACAAGTCGGGTCTGGTACAAGTAAAAATAGAACTCTCAGAACCCACTCCAGGTAGAGTGGGTTTTGCAGTACAATAGAGACAGAATTATATAATCACTTTTGTGTGTAGTAACAGGATGAGTGCTATGCTTGTGGTGCCGTCTTCCCAGCAATCTGTCATATGAAACTGAAATTACTGACGGTTTTGACCTCTACCACCTTATCACTTAACTTGTACCAATTGTCTCACTCTTTGAAAAATTTATTTTGCTTATATTTCTTTGGCTGCTTTGTTTAGTTAGCTTAAATGTACGGCCTCTTGTTCATGAAGTTCCATGCCTCAATAATTCTTCCTTATTAATTTTGTCCATTCCCGTTACTATTTTGTATGTAGCAATCATATCGCCTCTTTTTCTGGGGGGAGCCCCGTCGGCTCCCCGGAGCTTTACCAGGCTGCTATGCTAATGTCAGACTTTGGCATCAGTCATGTGTATGAAGTTCTAAGGCCTACCGGGGACCAAGGCCAAAACCTGGCCCCCTCAGAGAGGCAAGGGGAGCAATGGCCTATAGAAACCCCCGTGTGGTTGGAAGCATTCTGTGTCTGCCATCGACTGGGTCAAGCATCCAGAAAGGTAAGCATTCCAAAACAAACCTCTATTCTGGGGAAAATTGCTACCTAGAGCCGAACTAGTGGACAGAACTCCTCAACAGAAAACAAGCAAACTAGTATGACGTCACACGTCACAGCGCCGCTGTCTGTGCAGCTCCCCCCTCCCCGGGAGGGGGAAGGGGGAGCCCCAGACCTCCCACGCCGGCTATCCACCCATCAGTTCTTCGGCTGATGCTATAGGCACCGGTTATGTGCTCCGGCTCCAGTAGTTTCAGCACTCTACCTAGAGTGTGGTGTCTGTCTTCTAGGTGGTGCATGAGCCAGGAGTGATTCTCCAGTACTCGGGCTGCATGCGCCTAAGGTTCCCTTCCCTAGGTGCCCTGTAAGTACTGCCCTTGGGGCTTGGGGCCACCTTCCACAAGTTCCTTGGGTCCTTCCCCGCTAGGCCGTTTACTGCTTGGTTTTCGGCCGCTCTTTGTGTGCTCGGGTGTTCTGTCTCCCTTGTTCGCCTTAGAGTAAGGGGCAGTTTTGCACTGGTGGGGTGCAGGGTACTGTGCAGCTTGTCTTTACCAATCATGGCGGCCGGCTCTGTTCCGCTTGGGTACGCTGTCCTCTTGCGGGGTTTTCTTTTTCTTTTTGTTTATCTACCTGGTGGGGGGGGGGTCTGCCTTCATTCTTGACCCTTGTGTCCCTTGTGTTCTGAGTATTTTCTGGTGGTACCCCCTGATAGGTCCCCGTGAGAGTACACGTCCCGGGGGTTCAGCTCTTAGAAAGTTGTTTGGTAGCTTTGGGTGCCGGTTAGCAGTACCCTGCCTGGGATTACCTGAGCGCGAGTCCTCTTATAGTAAACGCTCAGGACCCTGGGAAACCCCTGGGGGCGCGCGGGTCCGATGGATGTGACCCCAGAGTCCCCCCTTGCTTCCAGCGAGTTTGAGGGTTGCTCTCACCCTTTGTCTCTGGGTGACTCTCTGTTTTGCCTCCGTCTGCTGCCTGTGGGGTCGGTGACACCTTCAACCCAGAGTCCTGCGAGTTTGGTTGCTCGTCGTGGCTCGGTTACCCAGTTGTGCTGACTAAGCGGGTGCGGGCAGCAGGGGCGTTGCACTTTGAGCCTTGGTGGTGGCAACGCTCTCCCGGTTTACTCCCCGGGAGCCCCGGGGCTGCCCCGTTTTGGTTCATGTTGGGACTTGGGGGTGTTGGTTGTTTCGGTTCCTTCCACGCCCCCTTGTCTTTCCCCTGGATCCCCCTTCCTGCCTGCATCCGGGCATTTGAGCCTGTTCCTCCAGCCGTGTTGTAAGAATCTGCCAGTGGGCTCCCTTCCATAGTGTTTTCGCGGCTGCTCCGGTTTTCTGGTACGGCCGGGGCTTTGGGGGGACGGCTCGGCCCCGGGGCCTGTCGTGTAGGTGCCCTGGGCTGTGGAGGGGCTGACTTGGGGGGCCTTGGCCCCTAGGACCCCATGGGGGTTTTTTATCCCCTTCTAGGCGGGGCTTGTGGTTACTCGGAGTGGGGTCTTTCCTCTCCACTCGCTGTACGTGCTGTTGGGCGTCGGCCCCTCCCCGGGCTCGGTTCCTTGGCCTTTGAGTCGGTTGGTTCCGTCCTGTGGGTGGATGTTTCCTCCCACCCATTTTGGGACGGTGTTTTCGTCATGTTTCCCCGTTCTTGGGTTCTACGTGACTTCTGGTCTCGGGTGCGCCTGCGCCTTTGTGTGCCTTCGGGACTCGTGTTGGCTTCTGTGTTCTCGAGGGTTCGGGAAGGTTTTCGTTATTTTCCGCGTTATTGGAACGTCTGTCGGCTTCTCGGCCTTGTCACCGTTTTGGGCTACTTGCGGTTGGGCTGCTTGTGGCCAGTGGCCCGGTTTGGCCTACTTTTGGCCCGATTGGGCTACTTGTGGGCCGGTTGGGCTACTTGTGGGCCGGTTGGGCTACCTGTGGGCCGGTTGGGCTACCTGTGGGCCGGTTGGGCTACTTGTGGGCCGGTTGGGCTACTTGTCGCCCTGTTGGGCTACTTGTGGGCCGGTTGGGCTACTTGTCGCCCTGTTGGGCTACTTGTCGCCCTGTTGGGCTACTTGTCGCCCTGTTGGGCTACTTGTCGCCCTGTTGGGCTACTTGTCGCCCTGTTGGGCTACTTGTCGCCCTGTTGGGCTACTTGTCGCCCTGTTGGGCTACTTGTCGCCCTGTTGGGCTACTTGTCGCCCTGTTGGGCTACTTGTCGCCCTGTTGGGCTACTTGTCGCCCTGTTGGGCTACTTGTCGCCCTGTTGGGCTACTTGTCGCCCTGTTGGGCTACTTGTCGCCCTGTTGGGCTACTTGTCGCCCTGTTGGGCTACTTGTCGCCCTGTTGGGCTACTTGTCGCCCTGTTGGGCTACTTGTCGCCCTGTTGGGCTACTTGTCGCCCTGTTGGGCTACTTGTCGCCCTGTTGGGCTACTTGTCGCCCTGTTGGGCTACTTGTCGCCCTGTTGGGCTACTTGTCGCCCTGTTGGGCTACTTGTCGCCCTGTTGGGCTACTTGTCGCCCTGTTGGGCTACTTGTCGCCCTGTTGGGCTACTTGTCGCCCTGTTGGGCTGTCGCCCTGTTGGGCTACTTGTCGCCCTGTTGGGCTACTTGTCGCCCTGTTGGGCTACTTGTCGCCCTGTTGGGCTACTTGTCGCCCTGTTGGGCTACTTGTCGCCCTGTTGGGCTACTTGTCGCCCTGTTGGGCTACTTGTCGCCCTGTTGGGCTACTTGTCGCCCTGTTGGGCTACTTGTCGCCCTGTTGGGCTACTTGTCGCCCTGTTGGGCTACTTGTCGCCCTGTTGGGCTACTTGTCGCCCTGTTGGGCTACTTGTCGCCCTGTTGGGTACCTTTTTGGGCTCTGTCTTTGCTTCGTTGGCCGGTTTTATTGTTCCTGCCTCCTCTTTTGGCTACTTTTCTAGTGCAGTAGTCCTGGTTGGCGCCTTCCCGCAGAGAGGGTTGTGCGGTTCGGCCAGCGTGTCATGCGCATGTGCCGTGGAGTTTGTTTTGGTCTGGGCGGTGTGTTTCAGTGCTGGTGTTTGGCGCCCTTTTTGCTACAGTGCTTCGCCTCTCGCTCTTCTCCCTTGCTGCGGTATGTGCCCCTTCGCTCCGGGGGTGTCCTGGTTTCCAGTTGTGGGGAGGCCGCCGAGGTTTTCCCTGTGTCTTGGGTGTGGGCCGCCTCCTTCGCCTCTACTCTGCTCTCCTGCGGGTCCGGCTCTGACATCTTCACCTGGCGGTGCTCCCAGGTTCTTCTGGGCACGGTTGAGTCGTGTCACGTTCGTGCCACCGTTCGCCAGGTGATTTTCTGCGGTCTGGCGTCTTTTGGCCGGGCGCTGGAAGCGGTGTTGTTTATATACCTGTCTTTATTAAGGTATATTTTGTAAGACTGAGACCGTTCGCACACCAGTGACTGTCCCTTTTTTCAACCCTTCCTGTCTCACTCATGTGCATGTCCAACCCATGCTGGAGTCATTCAGGGGACCCACCTTTTTTCGTGTTATGAGGTGTGGGGGTTGTGGTGTTGGTTCTGTACTCACCTGGTAAGGCTCCTGGCTGTGCTTGCAGGGTTTGAGCTCTGGCTCTTGGGTCCCGCCTATCGGGTAGGACTTGCGGGATAGTACCAGTGGAGTGCAGTGGTGCTATAAGCACAATTGGGGAACACTGTATAACCGTCAGAGGTCTGCGGTTGTTACACGACCTACTTATTTATTTATTTATTTATTTATTTATGCATATACAAGAATGTACATAAGGAATGTGAGGATACAAATATGGTAATTACAGTCTTGTAAAGCCACTAGCACGCGCAGCGTTTCGGGCAGGTCCTTAATCTAAGAAAATTTTAAGGAGGTAAATACTTGCAAAATTATAGACAAAAAATGATAACAGATTACATGAAATGAAAAAAAGATGAGAGAAAATTGTAGGTACAGTATATTAAAGCACATAGGTAGCTAAGATTGATTGCAATGACAGCTTGAATGGTAGTTGACAAAAAAAATTGGTAGGCATAATACAGCAGAAACAATATAAGATTGGTTGCAATGACAGCTTGAATGGTAGTTGACAAAAATTGGTAGTCACAATACAGCATATGGCTAGCACATAAAAGAAGACAGCAATGAACACAATGATAAGGTTGTTTGAAATTACATCAAAATTAGGAGATTGGGTAACACTAGGTACAGAGCAAATTTAAAGCTCAGTGTAGGAAACTAAGAAGATGAAGTTAGGTACTTTTTGGTTTTGCTTTTAAATAAGGCAAAAGTTTTACAGTTTTTCAATTCACTAGGGAGTGAGTTCCATAAACTAGGTCCCTTAATTTGCATAGAGTGTTTACACAGATTAAGTTTGACCCTGGGGATATCAGAGATATTTATTTCTGGTGTGGTGATAATGGGTCCTATTACATCTGTCCAGGGAGAGTTTCAGAGCATGGTTTGCATTTAAGAACAGGGTTTTGTAAATGTAGTTGACACAAGAGAATGTGTGGAGGGAGTTAATATTTAGCAAGTTTAGGGATTTAAACAAGGGAGCTGAGTGTTGTCTGAAAGCTGAGTTAGTTATCATTCTGATAGCAGATTTTTGCTGTGTGATGATGGGCTTAAGGTGGTTTGCAGTGGTAGACCCCCATGCACAGATACCATAATTAAGATAGGGGTAAATTAGTGCATAATATAGTGAGAGGAGAGCAGAGTTAGGAACATAATATCTGATTTTGGAGAGTATACCAACTGTCTTAGAGACTTTCTTAGTTATGTGTTGAATGTGGGTGCTGAAGTTGAGTCTCTTGTCTAGGAATAGGCCAAGAAACTTGCCATCATCTTTATTACTGATGTTAATGTTGTCTATCTGTAGCTGAATTGCATTTGATGATTTGCTTCCAAATAAGATGTAGTAAGTCTTTTCGATGTTTAATGTTAGTTTGTTCGTTGACATCTCGTTGACGTTGACATCGTTGTTCGTTGCGAGCATACGCCTTATTGCTGGTACGTCCGTGGACTTCCGGGGCACACTCGCCTGTTTTTGAATAGAAGTTCCAGCCCATCCTGGTTGTGGGGGGTATGTGGGCCTGCGGGCCGCTCCAAGCAGCTGCCTGGTGGGCCTCCCTCTGGCTGGTCTAGCCTGGCCTCGGGCCGGGCTTTGGGTGTAAATGAGCTCCCAGTACCCCATCCGGCGGGTATTGAGCGGGGTTTCTCCGCCGTCGGTCGCCTGGTGTGCAGGTTTCTGGGCCTGCTGGGTTCTATCGTGTCTCCGTTGGCCCTGTCTGGGGTCTGCCTGCTCCGTTCTCTGCTTTTGCAGAAGCGAGTTGTTATTTACATGTTGCATCTGCGGTGGTGCAGTCTACAGAGTGGTAGACGGTTGGAACAAGTTAAGTGAGAAGGTGGTGGAGGCCAAAACCGTCAATAGCTTCAAAGCGTTATATGACAGAGTGCTGGATAGACGGGACACCACGAGCGTAGCTCTCATCCTGTAACTACACTTAGGTAATTACTCAGTACTTCGGAAGTGAGTAATAATCAACGAAGTAGTCCATGGTGCACAGTGCGACTTCGCTCTCGTTGCACCAGGTACAGATAGATTTTGCTTCCTGTTTCTTCATTCTGTGTGCTTGCAAATAATGCACTCATGTACACCCTTGGCATTAGTACCTGTAGGTGGTATGTAGCCAAGCTTGTAAAACATAAGGTAGTCTTGAAAACATTACAGGAAAAGATCGATTTGTAGGGTAGTCGTGGAAAGATCGCTTTGTATGGTCTCACACAGGAAAAGATTCAGCTAGCCTCTAAGAGTGTCCATCAGTCACAAAGAGATTCAGCTGTTCTTGAAATTATATATGGAAAACACCATCATGGAAGCCGCTAACACTGTTCATCTATGCTACTTGTATTGGATGCATCATCACTGAACGCAGAAATCGATTCATTTATGTATCATACATAGATGAATCGATTCATCTATGTATCATACCTGGTGGGACCAGGGTGGCGCTCAGAGCTACAATTGGATACGCTCACTGTATTGTTCTCATAGGTGCTGTATAACTTGCATCCGATCTTTGTGTTAGGTCCTTATTGCACCTAGCTTCACTAATATTATGACCCCTTATGTTCTTCAAACAATAAGGTTTGAATTTCACTGATAGCGCAATCTTTCAACACCGCGTTGGACAGCCGTTTGGGAGCCAGAGACGCATGCGCCACCCATGATTGCTCATTCAGAACTAACCCAGCCAGCAGCCCTAGTGCATTCTGGTATTTTTTTTCCAAGATGGCTGCCTCTCACTGGAGGTCCTAAGAGTCCATTTCGTACACAACCAACCTCGCACACATTTAGAATAGGTACGAAAAAATAAAGAGTTTTCTCGGTTGGTGCAGTTAAGTGGTTAAAGCCATGACAGTCATTTAAATTTCTTATCTTTGCCAGTATCTTAACATCAGCAAACATGTTCATATAATTCTGCATTCCTTCTGATAGGTCATTTATGTAGCCAATGAATATTACTAGTGCAAGAACTGAACCCTGTGGTAATCGACTAGTGACATTTCTCCAGTCCAATATATTACCCCTCATCACTGTACTGTCCTAACGTTTGTCAGGCAACATATTTTTCATCCATGCTAGAAGCCTCCCTGTCACTCCATTATGTTTCACTTTCTAGGATATCATCATCATCTGTGATGCTTTTTTTTTTTTCTTTTTTTTTTTTTCTTTTTTTTTTAAGGTCCAGATAAATGCAGTCATCTCTTTCCTGAACCATCTCTTTCCTGTACAATCTCTGTGGCTCTATCAAGTAAATTTGTTACCCAAGATATTCCAAATTGAAAACCATAGTGTCTGACTGTTGTATCATTTTTCTCTAGGTGTTCTACCCATTTGGTTTTAATTATTTTTTCCTATTTTTATGGGTAGGAGAGTCTTCTCCTACCCACCATATTTGTCACTTCTCTACCTCCCCACTCTTCTATATCCTCTAACCCCTCCTTTGACTTTCGGTTCAGTTTTCCTCCTCAGCCTTTCCCCATTTTTTGGCCCCCCTCTATGACAAAAGTTTGTCCAAGCCAATATTTATCCTCCTCTCAGCTGTCTTATCCCCTTTCATTCTCTCTTCACCCGAGACTGTTGAGTCTGTTGCATAGTACATTGGTATTGGTACACCTGTGTGTGTTTGTGTGTGTGTGTGTGTGTGTGTGTGTGTGTGTGTGTGTGTGTGTGTGTGTCAGAAATGTAAACTTGGTTCCTCTCCCTCACTACCTGGTAAGAAAGCCTCAGTCCTTCCCCCTGGCCTTTTCCTTTGTTCTTGTTCCTGCATCACCTCCCATCTTGGTAGTGGTGTCAACTGACCTCCCTATGACACTTCCCATCACCATTGTTTCTACCTTTAGTGCTGCCCCTACTCCAGTACACACTGCTATTTCTGTCCTTACTCGGCCCCTACTCCCTCGACCGCCCTTGCCAGCAGCACCTTCCTCACTAGGCCTTGTTAGTTAGCTTACGCTCATTTCCATCACCGTCTCTCAACATAACCATCATTGGTGGATTTACTCATGATTTACTTGATTTCACTGAACCTGGTCTTGATCTTCCCTAATATCCTGTGTCCTTCTTTGCCCTTGATTCTTCTTTTTACTGTTATTTTGTTCTTCACTGTAACTCATATGCATCATGCAGGTTCTGAGAATCCCATATTTAATTAATTACATATTGCCAATTGCAGTCAGGTCCTCTTTTTTTTATATATGGTATCACACCACTGGCTCTTTTGTGAAAGGTGGGTGGTATCCTGGTAGATGGAATTTCCCCTTAAATAAATAATGTCTTCACGTCCCCATGTTTCACGGAGCCCAATGATGTCAACTGACATTATTCTTAGGGGGTTGAGGGATTATTCCTGTATTCTGCACACTATTATTCAATATGTTGTCCCTTTGATTTTTGTGCCTGCTTGTCATTGGGGATGTATAGGGTTCTGCCTTACTTGGTAAAGGACTTTGTCCTGTCCTCCTCATCCTATCTTGATCACCTCCCTCCTTCTTATCTTTGCTTTGAATTTGTATTGATCTATGTTTCTTAACTCGTTTAGTTTTTCACTGTGAGGTTTGGAGATACGTACATGTTGTTATACCCATCCAGATGTCTTGGGTTAAATTAATTTTGTGTACAATACAATAGCTCGCTTATCTGTAATAATGTATACTCTCTTTTCCGCCATATCCTGGTAAAATATTGGTGGATGGTCTCCTCTCTGGCTCTCCATGAGGGACTATAATGGGTGAACAATTTTGTTTCAACTATTGATTCTTGAGTACTGTACTTCTATCAGCCATTTAATACCTTTCTAAAATTACTGACTGTTCCTAGCTATTACTATGCACACTGAACTGACCTGAAAAGACTGAACAAGCTGTACTGTATTCTGATTTGATTGTTTCATTATATATTGATTTGTACTACCATATAAATAGCAGATAGTGATTGGAACCGTGAAAAACTTAAAAAAAATACATTGTTTATTAATGCTAATACAAAATTTTTTGAGACGGTTAATCCTCTTAACACTTTCTGTTCAGATTGGGGTATCAGGTGGCATCGCTGCAACTATAGGTCAGCTTGTGCCGTCAAATCCTGTCTTGATGCAAATGGGTGCTGCAGCTGGCATGGGTGGACTCATTGGCACCACCATTGCTAAAAGGATTGAGATTTCAGACCTGCCTCAGCTTGTAGCTGCTTTTCACAGGTATTCTATGTGGCACTGTATTTTATAATTATTTTGAGATGTTGTAAGCACAGTCTCTTACAGGTGGTGTTATTCTGTTAAAATTTGCTGGAATATAACATACAGTTCGGATGTTCTACTGCCATAATATTGTGTACATGTTCATTATACATAGGATTGGCAAGAAAAAATAAAACAAATGTATTTGGAAATGTTCGCACAAAATGAACAAAAAAATATTTGTGGCAACTCGCGCATGTTGAAGCTGGTGCGCGACTGGCTCTTATAGTCTACGTCACGGGCGACCACCAAATCGTAACATCACACGCCATTTTCCGGACCTCATTGCGGCCAAAGTAAGTGCAATTTCAATTTTTTTTTTTTTTTACATATGTGATCAGGGAAGGGTATTTAACATTTTCAAAAACAAATTTTTTCCCAAGAATTTATTTCCTGTGCACAGACGGGTGCCATATTTGGAGCCCGAGCAGCACAATGGTTAAACAACCCTCATGGTCATTGAGCTCGTTCTTCCTGCAATAATAATAATATAAACAGAATGCTTTGTAATTTACTTTGTATATCCTATCGCCAGAGGGATGGTGCTTTTTAGATGTGAGGAATTAACACTTTTCTTGCTTCCTATACTTAACAATATTTATATATAATGTCTGTTGTGACGGAAAAAATAAATGGTAGCGCACTCTCTCTAGGGCAGATGGAATGCCTGTCACATAAAGTAAAAAAAAAGTAAAAAAAAAGTTAACTGCTATTTAACTCCACCGTGAGGTAACTGTAGGATAAAGCATAGAGAGAACAGAATTTAAAATACTTATGAAACATTACTTTAAACAATTTACAAAACAAAAAATAATATCCAGGCTTGGCTCTAATACAACGTGTGCAAAATAAACACTATGAACAATCAAATTTACGTTACGTTAATGTACAAATAAAATATGGTGCTAGAATACTGTGAGCCAGTCTGCATAAACCTGCTACCACACCAAGATATGCCAGCAGATCTTTGCAGTAGAGCACTCAGGAGTAATCTGAAGGTGTAAGGCTGTGTAGCCTATATATGTATATGGAACGACGGCCGTCCAGGTGGCGCTGGAGTCGTAGATAACTATGAGCCGGCTCATTAACTGCTTGTTTCGGCTGGTGGTGTGTGCTCCCAGTGGCCAGGTGAGGTGGGGTGACGGGTGTTGGAGGTGGAGGGGGGACTGGTGGTACTGTCTAGACGTCTGAGAAGTAGTTGTTGTCATTGTTGCTGCTGTAACTTCTTGAATTCTTAATAAATATATAAATGTGGTGTAGTAGAATAGATGATGATGGAGCAGGCCGAATCTCCTTTTGAGAGAGATTACCGTGACACTGTATTTAGTATAATAGTATAATAACACCACAAACAGTATTGTTGGGGGTAGTAGTTTTAGTGCGTCTGACCTTGAACCAGTGAGGAAGGCAGCCGTCAGCTAGCTGACTGCGTGTAATTACCTAAGTGTAATTACCTCAGTGTAGTTACAGGATGAGAGCTACACTCGTGGTGTCCCGTCTCCCCAGTACTCTGTCATATAATGCTTTGAAATTACTGATGGTTTTGGCCACCACCTTCTCACCTAACTTGTTCCAACCGTCTACCACTCTGTTTACAAAAGTGTATTTTCTTATATTTCTCCGGTAGCTTTGTTTCGTTAGTTTAAATCTATGACCTCTTATTCTTGAAGTTCCGGGTCTCTGGAATTCCTCCCTATCAATTTTATCGATTCCTGTTACTATTTTGAACGTAGTGATCATATCGCCTCTTTTTCTTCTATCTTCTAGTTTTTGCATATTTAACCCTTTAACTACGCGGCCTATAAATATGACACTCCCCCAGTGCGCAGGAAATAAATTCTTTTGAAATTTTGTTTTTGTTTTTTTAAAGTGTCAAAAACCCTTCCCTCAGTATGGGTATGTAAAAAAAAATTCAAACTTGTACGTACTTTGGCTGCTATGGGGTCCGTAAGTTGGCGCGTGGCATCATCATTCCCCATTCGCCCGTGACGTACGCTCCCGGGGCGGGGCGCACCAGTTGCCGCGAATATATTTTTGTTAATTTTTTGCACACAGTTCCAAATACATTTTATTTGTTTTTACGTGCTAATCCTATGTATAATGAACACGTACACTATATTATGGCAGTAAAACATCCGTACTGTCCGAGGACACTGTGATACGTGCATGACACTTGTGTACACATATGTTGCACATATTTACCATGTATCATGCTAATTTATGTATATATATAATCTACAGACTATACACTGTCACACACTATATACATTCACGATCAACACACTCAGAACACCGCAAGTGTGAGCTGTCACACTCAGCCAGCCCTCCCTCACACCTCCAACATTGTATTCGCCAACATTCCTCCTCCCACCATACTGTTATTGTTTTTATTACACTATTTACACATGCTATATATACCTATCTACATGTTTTATTTACCAGAACTATGCAAGTAAGCCGGTATTGTGTCCAAACAGTACAGTGGCCACCATACACTGCATGACAAATCACACGGCAGACAGCAGACGATGCTACGATTACGACGTCACCTCCCTCACCAAAATAGCTCCTCTCAACCTACTCCTGATGCTGTTATTACACTATACACACACACTGTATATACCCATGTACATGTGTGTTCCCCATAGCGAACCACGAAGCTAGTGTGGTGAGCAAAACAAGAGTGGCTGCCACACAGTGAGGGTACCTCAATTCTCTCCCTCCCTCCCTCACCAAAATTCCTCCTTCCACAATACTACGCTCAACGCTAATTATAACCACAATCCTGGTCACTAATTCCTGTAAATGAATAATTGACCACAAGTTTATTATGAAAAGGAACCTAAAATGTAGTTTGAAGATTCCTAAATGGACGAAATAATGCTGTGGTGCTGTGGCTAGCGCTGTGAACATCGTGAACAGCATTGAATCACTGATATTTGAACATTGTACCTAGTTATTATCACACTCAGGCTCTTCTATAATACTATCATGGTTAAATAATACAAGTTATATATATATTATGACATTATTAGGCGATGCTGTGGTCACACGCTGAACAACAGTGCTGTGCGCTCATACTGCGAGCGCCAGCCTTGGTTGCTCACTCACTACTGAGGCTCTCACACCCGGGAATGTAGACCACGATTTTTTTTAAAGATGGCGTCTGTTTATAAGAGCCCTGAGGAAGCTGATGTGAACCCCATGTATCCGCGGGAGTTTTGAATGGAACGTGAAAAATACAAATACCCGGAGGCGTGTTGTGCACCTGAAGCCCGGGCCTGCAGGCGCGTTGCGCAGTTAAAGGGTTAATGCCTCTAACCTCTCCTCGTAGCTCTTGCCCTTCAGTTCTGGGAGCCACTTAGTGGCATGTCTTTGCACTCTTTCCAATTTGTTGATGTGCTGTGTAGTGATGTCTCTTAGTGCCTGAACTCACCATACCAGCTTAGTTGTACGCTTATGGTGAACAAAACATGTAGATACTCATATATAATGTCTGTATATAGTGTAATAACACCACAGACAGCACTGTTGGGGGAGTAATTTTAGTGCATCTGGCCTTGAACCAGTGAGGGTGGCAGTCGCCAGCTGACTTGTGTGTGTGCTGCGATGTTTCTTAGTGCCTGAACTCACCATGTCAGCTTAGTTGTACAGTTATGGTGAACAAAACATGTAGATACTTGTATATAACATCTGTATATAGTGAATAAAAGCAAAAACAGTATGGTGAGAGGAGAATGTTCGCGAGTGAGGTGTTGTTAAGAGATGGAGTGGTGGCGAGTGGCTGGCTGGCTGGCTTGTGTGGCGGCCACTCCTCATTGCTTTTCTGGGAGGAGCCCCTTTGGCTTCCCGGAGCTATCCAGGCTGGTATGTATAGGCCGAACAGAACTTTCACGACTGATGTGACCCATTAGCATAGAGCAATCTCAGAAAGATAACTTGACAGAGCAACCAGGGCTCAGCCAGAAAGAGGCATTTCATTACATTCAATGTTGAATTTTTTTAGATTGTAATTGTAGTTACAATTCTACTATATTTATTTAAATAATAATAGTAAAACATAGAGAAGCAATTGCATAGTTTTTGCAAACTAGTATTTTCTTTCTGAAAAAAAAATCAGAATTATGAACATTTAATAAGTTTTTAGTAATGTTATGAAGGGGGAAAAAATGTGAGGGAAGAGCAAACCATTTATGGTGTTACATAGATATAGGGGTATAGTATTTGTAGTTATAAAACTTCTGGTATCTCACATTATTGACTTTGATAAATGGTTGCATAGGAGACTGGGGGTACGTTCATCAACCCTATCTAGTTAGGTCTTAAAATGCTAAGAAGTTTGTTTAAAATTTATTTGTTTTCTGAACAGTTTGGTTGGTGCTGCTGCTGTGTTGACGTGCATATCCACATTCCTGCATGAATTCCCCCAATTTGCCACTGATCCAGCTGCTAATGCCATTAAGACTGCACTCTTTTTGGGTACTTACATTGGCGGTGTTACTTTCAGGTATGTTTTTTGAGTAGATGTTGTTAATTGTTTATAAGGCCATATAGTGCTTATTATTTGTTATAATAGAACAGCAAATATATACAGCGTAAATAAATTCTGTTTTCCAGTACTGTGGGTCCCTTGACATACATACATATATATATATTATATTTAGTGTATATATATATATATATATATATATATATATATATATATATATATATTATATTTAGTATATATATATATATATATATATATATATATATATATTTAGTATATATATATATATACAGTATATATATAGAGAGAGAGTATATTTTGGTAGCAGTCTTTCCTGTAGACATATATTATTTAATATGACCGAAAAAATAAGATTAATAATTCTAACACAAATTTTCTCAATATTTCTTATATTTCTTTTCACTGTTGATGGTAACTGAAAAATCAATTCTCCAAAATTCATTTTTATTTCTAGTCTGACGCGACACTTGAACGCGTTTTGTAATAACTTATTACATTTTCAAAGACTTTAGTTTACACACACACACACAACTATAACTAAACAGAGTTTAAACAGCTTCGATTTTATACCTGCATTTGGGTGAGGTGATATGTTACAACAGTTTTGGATGAGGTGAAAACAAACTTTCAACACAAGACAGAACACGAAACAATGGGTATAATATTTTGTAAGTTAAAGGGAAGAATGGAAGTAACTGCAAAGGGCCTATTGGCCCATATTTCTTGATGCTTCTATATTGGTGCGGAGTCTTGAAGTGGGTAGAATATAGTTGTGCATTAATTGGCTGTTGATTGCTGGTGTCGACTTCTTAATGTGTAGTGCCTCGCAGATATCAAGCCGCCTGCTATCGCTGTATCTATCGATGATTTCCGTGTTTTTTGTTAAGACTTCTCTGGTGATGGTCTGGTTGTGGGAAGAGATTATATGTTCCTTAATGGAGCCCTGTTGCTTATGCATCGTTAATCGCCTGGAAAGAGATGTTGTCTTGCCTATATACTGAATTCTTTGAGGCTTACAGTCCCCAAGTGGGCATTTGAAGGCATAGACGACATTGGTCTCTTTTAAAGCGTTCTGCTTTGTGTCTGGAGAGTTTCTCATGGGTAGGTTGGCTGTTTTCTTGGTTTTATAGTAGATCGTCAATTGTATCTTCTGATTTTTGTCTGTAGGGATAACGTTTCTATTAACAATATCTTTCAAGACCCTTTCCTCCGTTTTATGAGCTGTGGAAAAGAAGTTCCTGTAAAATAGTCTAATAAGGGGTACAGGTGTTGTGTTAGTTGTCTCTTCAGAGGTTGCATGGCGTTTCACCTTCTTATGTCTTCAACGAAACCATTGGAGAAGCTGTTGTTGACTAGGACCTGCCTTACCCTACAGAGTTCTTCATTGACTTGCTTCCATCCTGAACTGTGGCTGAGAGCACGGTCGACATAAGCGTTAACGACACTCTTCTTGTACCTGTCTGGGCAGTCACTGTTGGCATTTGAGCGGAATTCTGTGTTGCGTTTCACTTACGAGATGGAGAAGGATGGGAAGCTGCCCTTTTTAGATGTAACAGTCATGGAAAGGAGCGGAGGTTTCCACACTGCAGTCTACACTAAGGAAACAAACATAGGAATGTGTTTGTACCTTACTGCTGAGGTACCTCAGTGAGGTAGTGAGTGTGGGTACCTTACTGTTTAAATTTTCTCCTCTGCTCTTTGCGTCTGGTATTTTGATGCGTTTGTATCACCAGTAGCATGGTGATCAGGTGGCTTCTCTCATGGTGTCCCACCTGTGATCATCATTTAGACAACAGTACGAGGTCTCTTGGCATTCCTTTTGCCACTTTCTTTCTCTTCGTAGGTTGCCTTCTGTTTCTGTTCGTGTTGTCTTGTCATACCTTTTCTAGTTTTTTCAGGACCGACATCTTATGACGAATTCTGTCACCTCTTATCATGCGGCACTGGCGGAGTCGCTCCAGCTTGCGTTTGGGGTGGATGTCAGTTCGGCTCCGTTCCGTAAGCTTTCCTGTGCGTTTCTCCACTTTTGGCCTGCTCATGCACCGCCTAAGCCATACTGGTCTTTGGACCGGGTGCTCTCTTTTCTCTCTCTCCTTCTCAGTTTGTGGTGGCCCCTTTGGTCCAAGATTGTTTTCAGAAGTCTTTGTTTCTGTTAGTTTTGGCCTCTGGGTGTCGGGTCGGTAAACTTCATTCTCTCCTCCGACGCAGAGGTTTCTGCTCTTTTGGTCCTGGTGGCTGTTTTGTTTGTTTGCAGCCGTCTACTCCTTTTCTGGTGAAGAATAAGATGGTGGGCTTCCAGAGGGTTCCGTGGGTTATAGATGCTTGGTTGTTCAGGCCGGGGTGTATCTTGTTTTGTCTCCGGTTGCAGCTCTGCGCTGTTACCTGCACACCTCGTGTTGTGTGTCCAGGGACATGCTTTGGGTTGATCCGATTTACCTCATTCCCTATTCCAGGGCTCGGGTGTCTCAGGTTGTTCACAGGGTTTTCAAGTCTAGCCACCCTGCACTCTGCCCTCGTGCCCATTATGTTTGGAAGTTTGCATCTCTTGCTGCTGTCTTTGGGAACATGTCTTGGGTTGACATTCGGGCACAGGGTTTTGGAGGTCGAACAGGGTCCTGGCTGCCCGTTATCTTGTGAACGTTCCAGGCCCTTAGCGGCCTTGTGTGTCCTTCGGCTGTTGGTTGCAGCCAGTTGTCCCCATCTTCGTCATGAGGCATGCGGAACTGCCGCCTCCCGAGTACGTCCCTCTTTTACTTATCTTTGGGTATCTAGCTCCAGGAAGCCGACAGGGCTCCCCACAGAAAATTAACATTGAATGTAATGAAATGCCATTTTCTGGGTGAGCCCTGGAGGCTCCCTGGCACCCTCCCTCCAGTCGAGGGTTTTTGTTTTAGTTTGCTCAGTCTCTAAACTGGTGGGCAAGCAGTTGGTTCGGGTGAGTGGGGACGGGGACCCCCCCTTTCCCTCTCCATGGGTTTGGGGCGGCACATCGGTTTATGACGTTTGCTTGTTGCATTGTTTTTCTTGGGTGGGAGTTATTGGCTCTGTTTGGTCTTGGGTTGGAATTTTCTATCAGTTGGGATTTGTTTTCGAACGCCTACGTTTCTGGGTGCCTAACTCCAGTCGATGACAGACATGAATATACTCTCGAAGAGTGGAGTTTTCTTAGGCTATTGCTTCCCGCACCTCTCTGATGGAACCAAGTTCTGGCTCGTGGTTCCTGGTAGACAAAATCTCCATGTGAATGAAGCCCCCAAACTAATATAGCATATATCAGTCTGATAGCTCCAGGGAGCTTCCAGGGTGTACCCCAGAAAATTGTGCTTCATTACATTAAATGCTGGTTTTCTGTGGGGAGCCCTGTCGGCTCCCTGGAGCTAGATACCCAAAGATAAGTAAAAAAGGAACGTACCCGGGAGGTGGCAGCACCGCAAGCCTCACGCTGTGCTACATAGCCTTCCCAGCTTGGTGCCTTCTTTTGATAATTGCTTACTTACATTCAACACTGGTTTTATAGCTGTATTTTTAATATGGCCCTGGATAGTCAGCTTATCGGTGAGAACACCAAGGAATTTACCATCT